CGCAACCTCTCTATGCCCGGTAAACTTGAGTTTTTATTTTAACATATTTTCATAGCCCATAGAAAAAGTTATCAGCGATTGTTTATGAGAGTATTGAAAACTGTAACACTTTGTGGGGAGAGGATTTTTAAGATTTTTTCAAAACTAGAAATTTTTTGGAAATTATTTCACAATTTTAGAATGGCTATAATTATTAAAAATGTTGCCTCCCTGGGGGCGGGATACTTGATTAAGTTGGTCGATATTGAACGGATACCCCTAGATCTCTGTAGCCATATGGCTGAGGGTATATAAATCTACAATCTTTATTTCGATAGCCACTTAAAAAAATATATAAAATCCAGGCTAATGACTTTAATACACTATCAAAAAAAATCTTCCAAAAAATCTTGCTTCGACAATCTCTCAGATTAAATCTTTGAAAAAGCGCACGTGCTGGCATTGATAGTCCTTAGCAAAAAATGTCAGTTCGTTTTGGGGTTTTTTCACTTTCCACTTCGTTTTTTGCTATGACAGTCCTTAAAAAATATTCTCCGTGCTTTTTGATTTGATATTCCTTCATAAAATTTCTTTGAAAAATACATCTCCCCATTTAAAATCGCTTAGAAAAAATTAAAAAAAATCAATATTTTAAATTCAGAAAGAAATGTTCAAAAACACAATTTTTTAGCGTTGAGTTTTTAGCTAGAATTATTAATTAATACAATTTACTTACTCAAATAAAATAAATAAATTAATGATTTTTTATGTAAATTTTGGGCGGGGAATTTCAATATTGGGTTTTTTTTTGTTTATTTATAATTTTTTTAGTTCTCTCCAAAAGAATACCCCACCCCATGAAAAATATGAAATGTGTGTTGTTGTGTCCCCACCCCTTTTATTTTTTGGCTATTTCAAACACGTCCCTGCTGCTGGTATGTGTCATACCGTGAAATAATAAAATGTTCAAAGATACAACAACAACATGAAAACAATGGCAACAACACTGCCAATGACAACGAAAAAAAAAATGTTTTCAAAAAAATACAAAATTCTTAATCGTCGCCGAACCACCAACATCATCATCGCTTTTATTTTCAAATGCTAATGAATAATTTTGTTCTATTCGACAAAAAAAATTGTTTATACATTTGTTGTTGTTGGGGCTGTTGCTGCTGATGTTGTTTTTCTTGTTGTCTTCGATGAGCGATGAACAAAACAAAAAATACAAAAAAAAAAAAAAAAAACAAAATTCTCAAAAAAATCTTAACATTTAATAACAGTCACGTATAAAACGTTCTAAATAGAAGAGGTCTGATTGTGGAGCTGCTATTTTTTGCTTGCTTGGCTTGCTTTATATCGCTTTGAAAAAAAATCGGAATAAAATATTTTATTAATTTTTTTACAAAAAGAAACACACACGAAAAAAAATTATATGAAAATATTTGAATTCTGGTGATAAAAAAGAAGTATTAAATTTAGAAAAGAAATCGAAAGCTTGCTGCTGGAGGTAAAAACGGAAATGGAAGAGTTCGTTTTTTTTTTTTTTTGTCTTCTCCACAATGCGGAAGAGAAAAAGTTCGAGTTGTGTGGAGATCATGAAATGTGTGAAAGTGAAACTGTAAACAAAATTATTCCCAAATTTCGGCATAATTTTCCGATAACAAGTGGCAATGATGCGCAGATAAATTTCAATTTTTTTTTTCAAGAACAAATGAGAAGCAAGAAAAAAAATTGGCGAAAAAGAAGAAAATGAAAAAAGTGAAATTTATTTTTATAATTCTGAATATCATTCGAAAATTTGTCAGAAAAAAAGTATTACAAAAAAACAACAATTCCAAGATTTATTTTCGGAATTTTCAATTGTTGCCATTATTACTTTTTTGTTTAATATATGCAAAAACAGCACCAGAATGAAATAATTGTTATTATGAGTGGCTGATCTAAGTGGGGCTATTAGCTCACACATTTGGCTGGCGTCTCTCCCTTTCTCACTCTCTCTCGTTCACTTTAATATTTAGAGAGCAATGAGTGTTGCTCTCATTTTCAACAGTAAATACCAACAAAGACCATGTGATCAATGTTGTCAGTATTGGGGTATCTGTTTAACAAATCATGGACTTAGCAGAGGAGGATTTTTAAGGAATTTCTTTCACAAACGTGATTTTTTTCGGATTTTTTTATTAACTTTGATTTAAAAAAATTTATGCGAAAAAGTGAATTTTGTAAATTTATTTACAATCGTGGAAATGTTTAGGATTTTTTTCACGAATGGATAATATTTTACAATTTTAAGAAATCACCGATTTATTAGAGAAGGGATTTTTTCACAAACCGTGATTTTCTTAGACTTTTTTTAAAAAACTTTGATTTTTAAGATTTTATTTGAAAAGGTGAATTTTTTAAAATTATTTACAAGCGGGGATTTTTTAAAAATTCTTTCAGAAAGTTAAATTTTTATTGCCCTTCTAGAAACATGATTTTTTAAAGATTTTTCAAAAACTAGAAATTTTTTGGAAATTATTTTTGAAATTTATTTACGGGCCAGGAATTAATTTAAGATTTCTTTCACGAGCGTGTAGTTTTTTTTTTTGTAGTGCCCTTCCAGAAGCATGGATTATTCTAAGATTATTTAAAAAACTAGGATTTTATTTTGGAAATTATTTCACAATTTTAAGAAATCATGGACATACCACAGGAGGATTTTTAAGGAATTTTTCTCACAAACGTGATTTTTTTAGATTTTTTTATTAACTTTGATTTGAAAAAAATTATACAAAAAAGTGCATTTTTGAAATTTATTTACAATCGTGGAAATGTTTAGGATTTTTTCACGAATGGATAATATTTCATAATTTTAAGAAATCATGGACTTATCAGAGAAGACATTTTTTCACAAACGTGATTTTCTTAGACTTTTTTAAAAACTTTGATTTTTAATAATTTATTTGAAAACGTGAATTTTGTAAATTTATTTACAAACGATGATTTTTTAAGAATTCTTTCACGAACCTCGAGTTTTAAGTACCCTTCTAGAAACATGGATTTTTTAAAAATTATTTTAAAAAAACTAGAATTATATTTTGGAAATTATTTCACAATTTTAAGAAATCATGGACTTATCAGAGAAGGATTTTTTTACAAACGTGATTTTTTCAAACTTTGGTTTTTAAGAAATTATTTGAAAACGTGAATTTTGTAAATTTATATACAGGCGAGGATTTATTTTAAGATTTCTTTCATGAGCGTGGAGTTGTAAGTGCCCTTCCAGAATCATGGATTTTTAAAGATTTTTTACAAAACTAGAATTTTTGAAATTATTTCACAATTTTATAAAATCAGGAACTTACCAGAGGATGATTTTCAAATGAAGAGGAGGATTTTCAATGGATTTTTTACAAACATTATCGGAGTGGTCCGATATATACTATCGTCACATCCGATCTTGTATTGGTAGAAAAATTGGGATGTGTGAAATTCGAAAAGAATCGGATACTTTTTCTCGTTTTGTGAGCGTTTTGGTTATCCAAAATTTTTACCACTTTGTGGGGGAGGTACCAGAAGGGGTAGTCTAATAATTATGATCTTCTCATCGTATCTTGTCTTGGTAGAAATATTAGGATGTGTGAAATTTTAAGAGAATCGAATGCTCACTTCGAATTTTATGAGCGTTCTGATTATTCCAAATTTTGACCCCTTTTGGGGGGAGGTACCAGAAGGGGTGGTCCGATATCTATCATCTTCACACTAGATCTTGTGTAGGTGAAAATATTAGGATATGTAAAATTCGAAGAGAATCGGATGCTTATTAAGCATTTTATGAGCGATTTAGTTATTCAAAATTTTGACCCCTTTTGGGGGGAGGTACCAGAAGGGGTGGATCGACCTACCCCATCTTCACACCAAACCTTGTGTTAGTAGAAATACTGAAATGTGTAAAGTATCGAAAAAGTCTGATGCTTATTTCGCATTTTATGAGCGTTTTGGTAATTCAAAATTTTAACCCCTTTGTGGGGGAGGTACCAGAGGGCGTGGGCCGATATCCTTCTTATTCACACTAGGTCTTGTGCTTATAAAAATATTAGGATGTGCGAAATTTGAAAGGAATCGGATGCTTATTTAGCATTTTATAAGCGTTTTGGTTATTCAAATTTTTAACCCCTTTGTGGGGGAGGTACCAGAAGGGGTGGTCTGTACTATCCGCAATTCACAACAGATCTTGCGTTAGTAAAAATATTGAGATGTGTGAAATTTGAACACAATCTGACTCTTATTTCAGATTTTATAAGAGTTATGAATATTCCAAATTTTTACCCTTTGTGTGGGAGGTACTTCATGGAATGGGTCGATATTGTCCATTTTCATAGCTGACCAAGCACAGATACAAATATTAGGATTTGCAAAATTTGACCAAAATTAAATAATACTTTCTTGTTCTGTGCGGTAAATTAGTTTCTGTGAAAATATTAACCTTTTGTGGGGGAGCTACCAGATGGAGTGGGCCGATGTTGCCCATCTCCGAACTCGATCGAAGTTTGACAATATTATTACGATGTACCAAGTTCGGAACAAATAGGATACTCCCCTCGAGAGTTATTGGGCGCACCAGCCAACCAGACAGATTTGCCGACGTGCGCCCCTAGATCGACTCATAGTGTCCTGAAACGGCCACTTTTTTCCATTATTGAATTGTCGAATGTCCATAATTTGGGGGAAAATAATACCTTGGGCCACTTCAAGGTCCTTCCAATAAAAGACGTAAATTTGCATATTTTCATTGAGGAAAACCCTCTCTTTAGAAAGGGTCCTCCTTTAAGCATTTTCCATCTGTAGAAGACCACTTAAAGTTTTTCTGTAAAAAATCTGTATAAAATCATGGATCTAAAGAAGATCTCCGAAAATAATGTTTATATTCCAAACTTCTAGCGGCTCTTTTATCTATGAAAAAATCAAAAATTTGTATCTCTCAGATCCGTTGCTAACCTCAAATTTCCCCCCTTTCTTTTTTCTCTTCCTTACAGAGCGACAACGCCGCTGAGCTAGACAAAGCCATAACGAATTCTCAAAATAATCATCATCAGCATCACAACAATAACAACAACAGCAAAGCCAACAACCATCATCATCCGCACCAATCGACGGATAACACACACAGCACAACACGTGAATATATTTCATCGCCCGGCTACGAGACCTCCTCGAGTACAGCCCCAGCAAGTACCCCCGATCCATGTGAATATACCTACGAGGGTGCCATACAAGACTACAAGCAGAGGGTATCGCGGGCTGTGGCAGCCACCACAACTGTTGGCAAGAACTCAACTAATTTACCGCAGCAACCATCCAAGGAATCCACCCCGGAACGCAACTCCGCCTATCCCCCTCGGCGTGGAAGTAAAATTGAAGATCGCCTCATTGGCTTTGAGGTCCAATCGCCCAGCGAAGAGTGCATTGTTGGCGAAAAAGCCAAGGTTGATTTGCCAAAAATTGACATTTCTAAGCGGAAGGAAATTTTCGAGGTCCAGGCTTCGGCTGAGAGCAAGGTAAGCAGCTCAGCATCTGGAGTGCCACGTGTCACTTTGCGGGATCGTTTCAAACCCTCTGTGGAATCGGCAGCGGAAAATATTGAAGTTGCCGGTGCCGCCAAAAAGGAGGTCAGACGTCTGTCCGGCGACATAACCAGCATCAAGGAACGTCTGCAAAGTTTGGAACAGCAAAAACAGAATTTAGTCAATGGTGCAACGGCTGGTGGCGCCCAAACTAAAGTGACTGCCAACAAACTGGTCGATGTGCCGGTGCCACCGCTAAAGGAACGCTTATCTAGTTTACAAAACGCTGTTACCAAAGAAGAGGTACGCAAGCCCCCTGTGGCCTTGGTAGATGCCCGCCAGCTGGAGATTATGAAAAGTGAGGAGGAGAAGGTGAAACAGCAGCAACAGATTCAGAAACAAACGCCAGCTGAGGTAATCCCCGAAGTCAAGGAAGAAGACACCGGGGTCAAGTCTAGTAGCCAAATAAACGAAATTTCTACAACAACCACAACAACAACCCTCACCTCCATTGAGACAATAAATAGCAACAAAAACGAAACCACCATCACCACCACCACAACAAGCGAGGTAGATCGAGACGACAGCGGCATCCATACCGCCGACGATATAGAGGTACCCGACGACCATCTAAAAAAAGAGCAGGAACTCAAATTAAACGCCGCCATTGAAGCCCTGGCCATGGAGGAGCAACAATTTGCCAAGGCCGCCAGTGCCGTCAATCAAATTGAGGCAGAATTTGAAGAACTTTCACTGGGTGGTTCTGTGACCCTACCACCCCTGGCCAATAGTTCTGTGAATGGCAGTGCCAGCAGTGCCACCACCAATACCACCACCAGCAGCAGCAGCATTACTAATGACCATATGGAATATAGTGTAAGTTCTACTAACCCATGTACATCTCCCAAACCTGACAGTAGTAGTCTCAGTAGTAGTTGTAATAGTCCTTGTAGTTTGGATAATTCCGCGGTGAAGGTTGCGGGCGGGTCACCATGTAATTTAAGGCGCAAGCCAACCAATGAAATGGTCCATGCCAAAAATTTGTTGAAAATATTCAAGGACACCTTTAAGAGTGACATTGAATTGGATGAAGATGAGCCCGGTCGGCATGAGCCGGAGACGAAGGATATACCCGGTAAAAATCTAAAACAGGAAGCAATCAAGTCTCAGGTCTTTGAAAACCAAAAAATGACCGCCAGTCAAGTTGTGAATGAGGCCACAGAAGTGAATTCGAAATTACCTCCCTCGGGTCCAGGGGCCACAAGGAAGAATATTCAGACTCCTTTGAGTCCCGTACTTTCTAGGGGTGCCATCATTTCACCTCCCAGCTCTCCTGGAGGCCAAGATTTCAAAAATAACTCCCATGGAACCCCCTCGTCGCCTTCTTCTGCCGCTGGAAGGGTATTTAAAACACCTCTCAGTCCCATACTCTCTCGGGGTCCCTTGAAGGGCCCTCAGGGCAATAAAACTCCCCTTAGTCCCATACTCTCTCGAGGTCCCTTGGAAGCCTCCCAGGGTAATAAAACCCCTCTCAGTCCCATTCTCTCTCGAGTTGCCCGTGAAGGGCAACGTGAGGCCACCAAAAGTCCCATTCTTTCCTCCCGTCCCCAAACTCCCATGTCCCCACTCACGGTGCGCTCCACCACCAAATTCCATGATCCCGATACCCCTCCCCAGAGCCCATCCGCCTCGCGCAAACACGACTCTCAGTTTAGCATTAATGGGCGGGTGGAAATTTTCAATTCTAAGCAAATGACCCATGACAACATTGTTCCTGCCGCAAAACTCAACGCTCCCCACTCACCTCAGATTACAACAAAAATAACCTATTTGCCCCACATTAGCGTTAGCGAGAAAAACGCTGCCTCAAATATTGAATTACCTCAGGGTAATGGAGTAATGAAGTCGCCCATAACCACAGAAAATTCTGCCCAGAGCGATGGAGTAACAAAGTCGGCAGTGACCACAGAAACTACTCCTCATGTGGTCCCCTCCACCTCCGATGATGCCTATGAGGATGAAGTGGTGGCCTTGTCTATGGCAGAGAAAAAATCTCTCTTTGAAATGAAATCAAAGGGTCAAATGGTTAATGAACCTCAGCATAACAAAGCAGGGCATCCAGGAGTGGCAGGTGGAGGAGGAGGAGGTGCGGGAGGTGGTGTCAAGGCCTTGGCCAAGAGCATAGAAGGCAATGCCACCGCAACAATACCCCTACCCAAGCCTCTGACACCGGCCAGCAAACCCATGAAGCAGCAACCCGCCGCTACAGCTGCTGGTACAGCTCATGAACAACAGCCCGCCTCAGAAGTGGTTGTTTGTGCCCCACCAATCACAATTGTCAATCCAGATGAATTACCGAAACCCAATACGGTGAAAACGCTTTCCAGTTGCTTTCAGCCAGGCCAGAGCTCTTCATGTGGTGGAGGCAATGCCAAGCCGCAGGCATTGGGAAATTCACGCACAACAACAGTTATCTATGGCGAACAAAAATCGATTTCCCCCTCCTCTCCCCTCTTGGGCAAAGATGATCCTCTGGCCTCCATGATTTCCTCATCCACATCGACGTCGTCGAACACCACCGTTTGCACCGTTATAGAAGCCAATAAAACATTGTCGGTCATGTCGAATTCCTCAAGCGATTCAATGGCAGTTACTCCCACGATGGTGGAGACAAGTGCCCAGATCCATGGAGAGAGGGAGCAGAGAAAATCCGCTGAGCAACAAAATTTGGAAAAGGGAATATCCCAGGAGAAGATTTTCTCCACAGGAGCCAAGGAAGCAGGATCCAAGGATGGGATTTTCTCTTTCGAATCTAAGGATAAGAAAAAGGACAATAAGGTAGAGATTTCCTCTTTGGGAACCAAGGAAATCGGGGACAAAATCTCCTCCCCAGAAAGCAAAGCAACCAAAAAGGACGAACAGCAAATAATGACCCCACCAGGGACTGAGGAGAACAAAAAGGAGGCCAAATCAGGATTTTTCTCTGCGGGAATTAAAGAAGTCAAGGACAAGATCCCCTTCCTAGGAAGCAAGGAAACCAAAAAGGATGACAAGGAAAATGCATCCTCTTCGGGAGATAAGGATATCAAAAAGGATGACAAGAAGCAGGCAGGTATCACACCTCAGGAGGCAGAAGAGAATTTGGCCCTCAGGGCTCTTCTAAAGGATTTCCTGGAGACTGAAATCCAATTTTCCGAGACCTGTGAAATCAAGCCCCTTGGGAACCGGGCTATGAGCAAACCCCTCGACATTGATGAGGTGGACAAAGCCACCACATTCTCCAGCCAAAAGGCAAAGGAAATACCAAAAATTGAACAAAAAACTAAAGAATCCCACACTCCCATCCCTGATGAGGTCAATAAATCCAACACATTTGCCAATGAAAAGGTACAGCACAAAGAAATAACAAAGCTCGGAACCAAGGGATCCCATACTCCCATCCCTGATGAAAATGGAAAAACTTCGGCAAATCAAACAAATTTAGCCAAATCCCAAGAATCCCATACTCCCGTCCCTGAAAAATCCATCGGATCTCCCACTCAAAATGGCAAGCTAAAGAACACCCAGAAAATTGAAAATCAATCCCATGAGTCGTCTACTCCCATCCCTGAAACCCCAGAAATGTTGGCCCTCAAGGAATCCATGAAAGATTTTCTCAATACTGAAATTGAATATTCCGAGGTAGTGGAATCCAAATCTCCCCACATGCCCTTTGAGAGTCCTTTACAGCCGCTCAAGGTTGTGCTCAAAGATACCGGGGAGGTTAGGGGCAAAGTAGAGCTATCAAGTCCCTCCTTGGAGCAAAATAAAAAATCTCCTCTCACCATTGATTTAAGTCATGAGGATCATCAAAATCTCATTAGCTCTGGACCCTCCACTCCTCTCTCACCCACATCGCAGCTGTTTCGCACCACCAAGCCATTGGTGGTCTCAACACTCTATGACAAATATTTGCCGGAAGGGCCAAAATCTCCTAGTCATACAAATTTCTCGGAGGGGCCAAAATCTCCCACCCCTGAATATTTGGTGGAGGAACCCAAAACTCCCACTTATCCCCTCTCAAACAAGTCCTCCAACTCAGCTCAAGCTCCTCCCAGTCCCCTCTCGAATATGAGACCAACCTCTCCCACCACCAAGAAACCGTCCGAGAAGGGACCTACAATTGCTCCCAGCATAATGATCCCTGCAGAGCTGCCCAATCTGGTTGAGTGTCCACCCAATGACTCCACCCTCTATAAGTTGGCCTCTTCGGCTCCCCACAGTCCGGTCAGCCCCAGATCGGCATCCTCTTTCGACATGGATTCCGCTCTCTGTTCAAATCTTCTCACCTCCATGGCAGCCACGGCAGATTTTGTAAACTTTGAAAGGCAACACACCGTTGAAGAAGATCTCTGCCAGAAGGTGGATGTTGAAGCCTTACCCATAGACAAGAAAACTCCATGTACCGGATTTAAGGACATCACCAATAAGGATTTGAAAAAATCCCAAAATGTTGGACCCAAGATTATCCACAAAATGCATGATGCCCCGGCGGCACCCACTGCCGTGGATGAGACATGTTTAAAGTTGGATGTCCATTCGCTGCCGTATGACAAACGTCAACCCATTACCGCCTATCAGGCTGTCTCACCCACAGAATTGAAGAAACGTGATAATCTCTTTAGTTCCCCACCCCATTCACCCATTATGGAGGCCAGAGCGGCTCATTCCAAGGCCCTCATAGAGACTTGTGAGAAAATCATTGCCGAAGAGAAACAGGTGAATCAACAGCTCAAATCGTCATTACCCAACACGCCCAGTTCACCCAAAGCCACACCTGTTCTGCAGAGGAAGTCGAAAATTCCCAAGCCTCTGAATACCTGTTGTACGGCCACCGAGTCCATGAATGAGGCGGATTTGAAGAATAAAACCCCTGCGAACAAAGATGAGGCTGTCATAGCTCGCATGCATGTGGTGGAGACCCAGATCAAGGTTACCACCAGCACTCCACCAGCCTCGCCAAAAACTCCTGCATCTACTACAACGTCCACCACCACCACTACTCCCTCACCCAAACCCCAGGCCTCGCCCACCGTGGGCAAGAAGGCGAAAAATATTTTCGATTTCATAAAGAAAAATTTCGGCGTGGGTGGTGCAAATAAGGACTCCGAAGAAGAACCCATTGCCAAAGAGGAAAAAGTAACTCCAAAGAGTACAGAGACATATAAACCCCTTGAAAGCCCTGAGGAACCAGTCGCTCCACCAAGTCAACCCTTGGTCCTTACCGAATCTGAATTGCAGGCTTTGGACACTGTAAAATACAATGAAATTCATAATATTGAAAATTCCAAGTTCTATCTACCCTCCGATGATGTGGCACCCCCACCTTTACCCAAAACCCCCGCTCCAGTCAACATTGAAATAACTCGGAAAATCATAACCGATGAAATCATGGAAGATGGCAAGACAGAGGTGGAGTTTAGCAGTGAAATTGATGCTCTGCTCGATGTGGAGCTGAATAAGTTGAATCATGAAATTGAGGAGCTGGATAAAGTGGCCGCCAGTGGCGTGAAGCAGTAGGGTAAAAAGGGGGAGGAACTAATGAAATGAGTGATATTATTTTAATGAGAGTATGCGAACGGAAAATAAGAGAGAGAAACGGGGAGTAAATGGGGGATTTGTTTTTATTTTGTTATTGTCATTAGAGAGAGAGAAAAAATAGGGAAAAAAAGAGAGAGAGCTTGGAAAATAATTTCGAGAACAAAATGGCTACTTTGTCGCACGAAAGAGGAAGAAAATACTTTTTCCAAAAAAAAAAAAAAACGGTTTGAATAGCATCAAAAAAATAGAAAGAAAGAGAGAGATAGAGAAGGAAAGATAAAGGAACAAAGAAGTGAAGAATATCAATCCAGAGAGAAATTTAAGCAGATATTTAGCATCCATATTTTGAATCTTGACAAAAAATACTCGTTGAGGAAATGAGGGGGAGAGAATTTGGGAGGGGAAGAGAAAGCTTAAAAATAATATATATTAGAACATTGAGAGCAAGTTGCCAAAAGTAATTTTTAGAGAAACTCCGAGAGAAGGACGAAGAGGGCGACAAACATGAATCATAGGAGAGAAAGGTATCTCTTACGATATCATCAATTTGTTTTATGATAAATGATTTGGAAATAAATTAAAGTAATATATTTTAAATTAGGAGGGAGAGAGGACATTAGGAGGCACAGAAAGAAAGTGTGTCGTATGTCGAATGCTAAAATATTTGGGAGAGAGCAGAAATGATGTTGACCATAACTCCCCTCTCTCTCTCTCTCTTGCTCTTTCTTCTTACCCATAAACTCACTTCTCAGAATGAAATTGAAGTTTTCACAAATCACTGATTTCTGTCAATGCCAGGGATGGACATACTAAATAAGCTTAAAAATTTTAAGAAACCAAAAAATATCTTCAAAGAATTTTTTTTCGTACAATTTTTCATCTCTTATTATATATAGATCAAATTATTTTATATAAGTCTCCGCATATCTCTCATGGTATCTTTTAACATGTTTTCCTTAAAAATTTTGTTCAATTCATTTTTTCCTCCCTTTAAGCATTTTTTTTTTCCATCCCTGACTTTTAGGCAATTTTTATTTATCTTGTTTCTTTTCTAAGAAAAAGGAATATTTTATTATTTTTCCAATTCAAACATCCCATTACTGGTCATTTTTTTTTTTTTTTTGTAGTTGTTTGTAAAAAAAATATCTCAAAGAAATTTTTTCGTACAATTTTCCATCTTTATTTTTTTATTCTTTTTTTATTTTCTAAGTAAAAGGAATATTTTTAAAACCTAATGTAAATTTCCCCCTTTAACTGAGTAATTATTTTTCCAATTCAAACTTCGCATTCCTGGTAATTTTTGGGGAGTAATTTATTTTGGAGAAGACTCACTCTCTCTCTCACTCTCTCTCTCTCTGGTGAGATCATAGAAAGATAAGTGGAATATATTGTTATTTTTGTATCTGGTTCAAGGAATCAAACTCTTCTTCGTTCTGCTGACTCTCTCTCTCTCTCTTTCCGTTTCATTAGTGATTTTCATAATTTCTTTAAATAGACGATTTCTGGATAAAAGTTTTATTTAAAAAGTTAGGTATTGAATTGATTGTCTACTCAAGAGAACATGTTCTCTCTCTCTAGTGAGATCATTGAAATATAGGTACAACATGTTGTTATTTTTGTATCTGGTTCAAGGAAACAAACTCTGCATCTATTAATATGTCTCCCGATTAATATTTTGGATGTCACACTCACCCTTGCTCTCTCTCTCTCCATTTATTGAATGATTTTTACAACTTCCTAAAATAGGTAATTTATGGATAGTATTTTTTAATTATTTATTTATTTTTTATTAAAATAGTTAGGGATTTAAAAGATTGATTTCTCAAGAGAAAATGCTTTCCCTCCCTCTCTTTCTCTCTCTATATCAAATTTACAATTCTCTTTATTTGAAAAAAGTTCCTTTCTTTCAAAAATAATTTACTTGACTTGCTTGCTGTCCGTTTTGGTTTTCAAAGAAACAAAAAAAATGCAGAATGCCTGGTATCTTGTACTCCTTATCGTTGCAAAAAAAAAAAAAAACAAAAATAAATTAAAATAAAATAAAATAATTGCATAATAATTAAACCTGAGGTCCGCTTCAAAATTTACATTAAAAAAACAACAACCCAAGAAACGGCGAAATAAAATTTGCATTGAAAAAATCAATTTTAAGCGTGTGCGGCGGTGATTGACGCTGGACAGAAAGGTGGGGCAGCTACTTTGGTCTGTCTGCAAAGACTGCAGACGTTCGTTCGTGTGTGTGTGGACAACCCTTTGTTTTCTAAGCTTTCTTTTTTTCTGGTCTTTTTGTTGTTGTTCTTGGTTCTGTGGTGAGTTACAACAATAATTGCATTTATGCAAAACCCACACCGATTTGTTCTTACAATGAATATTTAAATAAAAAATCGCCACATTTATAATAAATATTATGATTTAATTGAATACCATTAAAATAACGAAAAAAAAAACGAACGAGACAGATATTTTTTCTTTTTCTTTCTTTTTTTTTTTTTTTGACAACTGGACCTGAAATACGGATTATTTATTTTTTCTGAAATCACTCAGAATTTTTTCCATTTAAATATGATTTTTTTACAATTATTAAAATATTCATATGAAAAATACAAATGAAATCAGTCTGCAATGCATTCAATATTTAATATATTCAATATTTATTCAATACAGAACTGTTTGTTTGCTAATTCGCAACAAATATGCAATTGGCCATTCTTACAACACCCACATGTAAATTTTTTAGGTTTTTTGAAATTTTAATTAAATTTCATTTATTTATTTCGTTTTTTAACAATGTGTGTGTTTTCAAATACTCAAGGTTAAATATGGAGTATTTATTTTATTATTATTTTTTCTCAATATTATTTCTTGATATTATTTTTATGTATTTTATTTAAATATTATTATTATTTATTATTTTTTTGTTTCTTATTGTGTATATTTTTATTCGTCTTTTTATATAAATACAAATCGAATATTTTCTTTTACAAAGCGAAAGAAAAACCAAATAATATTATATTTAATAATAATACTGAATTTATATTATATAAAAACCCCCATAAAAAACAAATTTCCAAATGTTGTTTTCTTTTTTCTCCTCTCCCTGAGAGCCAAATACTGCGCTTCTGAAAACTCATAACACAAGAAACAACATTCATCACCTCATTTCATTATCATTTGGATTTTATTTTTTTAATTTGTATTTTTTTATTTATTTATTATTGTTTTACTAAAATTATTTAATATTAACAAACACACATACACGCGCACACCCACATTTGTTGTCATCGTTCTGCACTAATTTGTTTTTAAGTTGAGCTCGCTCTAAAATTATGCAGGATTTTCAAAAAAAATTCAAAACTCATTACAAGAGGAAGGTATCGGGGAAAAGGTAAATGTATGCCGAAGCTTATAATTCATCATCTGACATGGCAATTTTAAATTTTATCCATGGAAAATTAAAAACTCCTAAAAAAGGAATTCAATCAAAAAATTCTCGATAAAAAAAATTTACAAAAATTAAGAAAAATACGATCATCGAAAATTTTTGATCGTAGATCTTTACCAAATTAGATTCCTCTACGAAAATATTCCCAAAATCTCAATTAATTTAAAAATATTTGAAAATTACAACCTAAGTATTTTGGTTCTTTAAAATTCTTCCAAATATTTTGGAAAAAATTTTCTTCCATATAATTAAAAAATATTAAAAAAAAAAAAACAACCCAAGTGTCTTGGTTATTCAAAATTCTTCCAAATTATTAGAAAACCACTCTTCCATATAATTAAAAAAATATTAAAAAAAAAAACAATTAATATAATAATATTTGAAAATTACAACCTAAATGTCATGGTTCTTCAAAATTATTCCCAAATATTTCTTCCATATAATTAAAAAATATTTTTTAAAATGCAAAATTAAATCCAAAACATTCAAATCAAATGGCTTTTGAAATATTATTAAAATATCCGCAAAAAATCCCTACAAAAATCTTGAAATGATATCAAGAAATACAGGGTGAGATGAAAAAAACTGCAACCAACTTCAGTCTACATTTCTTCATTTCATTACCACTCGTCCGACAGCGGTTAAAATTATTCCAGTGACAGCTCATTATATTGTTTACAAGCGTACAAAAGTATTTTGGTGAGAATTTTCCGAAAAAAGGTATTCGTGGTGGAATTCAAGCGGGATAGTGTGATTTCTTAATATTTGGCTGGAGAACAACAAGTGGCTAACGTTAGAGCACTCCAGCATTGAAATGTGAATAAATCTTTTGTGTCTCATACCATCGCTAGTTACCGTGATACTGGTAGCGTAGCCCGACGTCAAGGAAGTGGCCGAAAAATGGCTCTGGAGCTGAACATATCGCAATAGTCCATTCAGAAAATATTGAAAAATGAGCTCGGCGTAAAGCCATTGAAATTCCAAAATGTGGAAGAATTTACACCGCAACAGAAAGAAAATAGACTCAAAAGAGCTAAAGAGTTGCTTCGCTTGGCCGAAAATGGTGAACTGCCGAATTTGGTTTTTGGTTTTCTCAGATGAGAAAACATTCATTGTCCAGCAGTTTGTAAACGAACAAACAGATCGTGTTTACTTTCCAAAGAGGTCAGCTGAAAATGTGCACCTTCGGTTGGCCACCAGAGCTCAAGCGCCGACAATGGTGATGGGGTGATGGTGTGGGCCGCCATAACAGCCGATTGTCGCTCCGCTCGCTAATCGACCCTGGCATCAGAATAAATGTCGAATATCATCGCGAAAATATTGCGGGAGGGTGTATTAAAGCCTTGGGCACGCAAACATTTTGGCCGCAGCCCATGGACATTCCAACAGGACTCAGCACCATCGCACTCAGCACGCGCCACCCAACAATGGTTACAAAATTAGGTTCTTCGCTTCATTTCCAACGCACAATGGCCACCAAAATCTCCTTGGATACCAATCCGTTGGACTATTGTGTCTGGAGTGTTTTGGAAAGCAAGGTTGGCACAAAAAAATACCAAAGTATCGATCAACACAAGCAAGCGCTTCGCCGGGAATGGGCCAAAATATCGCAGAGCAACATTCGGGCAGCGTTTGACGGTTTCATTGGCCGTTTGAAGGCCATAATTCGTACCATGGATGACCAATTCCAACAAATCTAAACTTATTTTAAAATTTGATGCTATTTCCGACATTTTTTTGTTTTCATTCAATAAAATAAAAAAAAATGTCAAAATTATGGCGTTTGACTTTGTTGGATTTTTTTTTATCTCACCCTGTATAACTTCGTCCGATTTGCCTTTTATTGGGCACCAAAAAACGTCTAATATCAGCCCAAATAATATGGAATTTTCCACATACGACCAAATTAGGCCTGGAAATAAGTATGCCAAATTTGATCGAATTCGGTTCTGATTTGGATATAGCACCCATATATATTCCTCATCCGATTTTTTTAAATTTATTCTCCAAAGCCGCAATATGCACTCTGTAACAACGTTATTTGGGAAAATATATCAAACGCAGCACAAAAATGCCTTTGCCAAATTTTATCGAAATCGGTTCAGATTTGGATATAGCACGCATATATAACTTCGTCCGATTTACCTTTTATTGTACACCCAACGTGTAATTTGGCAGTTACCGCCAAATTGAGCTTAGAAGCAGATATGTCAAATTTGGTTAAAATCGGTTCAGATATAGCTAAACTCAAATATATATTGTTCATACGATTTGTTCTCCACAACCGTAATATGCACTCCGTAAATACGATATTCGAAGAAATATATCAAATACAGCTCAGAAATACCTTCGACAAGTTTTATTGAGATCGGATCTTTATTCGATTTCAAGTTAATTGTGCACCAAATATATTAAAATATAAGCCCGAATTTAAAAGGCACAAATGCCTCGGCAAATTTAGTAGAAATTGATTCAGAGGAGGATATTCCGCTCAGACAATATTATTTTTTCATGTCAATGCTTGATTTATATACTTTAATTAAATGGATAGCAATTTAAATAAATACAGGTCGCATGAACGGGTAAAACTGAGAGTAAACAACATTGTTCAAATGCTGATGAGAACATGGTATTAACTATTAACCGTAGTTGGGACATTCTGTAAAGAATTAGTTCAATTCAACTATTTTGTGAAAGGAACAATTGGAACTAGTTTCTTAGCATATGCATATTCAAAGCATAAGATTATATCAACCACAATATATTCCAGTCATTTTTATTTAAACCTAATTTTTTTTATTTAAAAACTACATCTGTTATTTACAGCAGTTGTATGTATTTCAAAACAATTCATACCCTGCTATTACTTTCTGCATATCATTACATTTTTTGCACATCAAACCATACAAATCTAATTATTTTTAATTCCACTACATCACTACAGGGCCAATAGGTCTTTTAAGCTCCACATAGGAGTTTAATGACATCTTAACAAAAAAAAAAACAGTTTTTTTTTTTAATTAAAAAAATATCGCTTAATGGCTGTATTTTGCTCCTGCTATAGTTTTTGCCTGCCCCTCCTTGAAACCTACAGCAAATTTAAACTGTTGAAATAATTTTGAAAAAATAAAAACAATAATTTTTTTGTACACACATGTTTCCCAAAACATTTTTTCTACCGAAAAATAATAAAATTTAAATTCTATTTATTCTCTCTTTTTCTCTCCATATTTTTTATTATGAAATTATATATTTTATCGAAAAAAAAACAAAACGAAAAAAATTACTGCGAAACAGTTTAAATTTTCCAATTTTTGCCCACAATTGCTTTTGCGCCATGCTAATCCAGGTAAGCCTGATGATATCGTATAATGATCATAAATATATTCTTGTTTTGTTTCTGTTATGATTTTGAATGGAATGAATTATTGAGAAATTGAATATTGTATTGTTTCAATTTTCGAATGATTTTTTGTGTTCTTTTTTCGATATTGGTTCACGTTTTTTTCACATTTTCTTGGCATGACAATTTTTTTATTTTTAAAATATTGGAAAATATTTGTATTTTAATATAATAATTTTAAGTATGTTAATATTTTCTACACACTTAATAGCTGAGAATTTCCATTTTTATTATGAAATATGTAAAGATTCTTGATTTTATATGACATTTTTTGAATTCAAATAAATAATTTTTAAGTTTTGTTGAGGAATGTGGATAAGCATTACTTAAAAGGCAACGGCGTCAGAATTCTTAAACGGCTTTGATAATGCTTTATAATCTTAATATTTCCAAAGCAAGAATATTATGCGAAGCACTAATGCTACATGAATTCACGAGGTTGCCTTCGTAACTCTACGTGCATATTTCCACTGAGGCTCAATTCTTATTATTTGAAAAGGTGAAATAATATATATAAAGGAAATATTTTTCACTCTCTCTTAAAAATTTCACATGAAA